TTGGTGGGAATGGGGTGTGTGTGCGGGAGTGTGGGGGGTGTGTGTGAGTGGGGTGTGTGTGCGAGAGTGGGGTGTGTGTGCGAGAGTGGGGGTGGGAGTGTGGGATGTTAGGGTGTGGGGTGTGTCAGAGTGTGGTTGTCAGAGTGTGGGGTGTGTGTGGGGTGTGTGTGAGTGGGTGTGTGTGCAAGAGTGGGGTGTTTGTCAGAGTGTGGGGTGTGTGTGCAAGAGTGTGGGGTGTGAGTGTGGGGAGTATGAGGGTATGGGGGGTGTGTTGGGGGGTGTGAGGGTATGTGAGAGTGGGGGGTGTGTGTGAGTGTGGGGTGTGTCAGAGTGTGGTTGTCAGAGTGGGGTGTGAGTGTGGGGTGTGAGGGTGCGGGGTGCGTGTCTGTTACAGAGGGACCTGGAAGAAGACAGCTCTGTGAACGGTGGGAGAACCTGGGCATCTGTGCGTGTGGGCCGGGACAGGTGGCAGAGAAGGGACAGGTGGCAGGTGGGGACGGAGCCTGGGGCAGTGGGGGAAGGACACAGCTTCCTCTGAGACCAGGGGTCGGGGCTGCAGTCAGGTTGGGTGCAGGGTGAGGGCCCAGACCGGTGGTAGTACAGGCAGGGGTGAGGCAGGGGAGCCGGCGTTTGCCTCCCTTGGCGAGGACCAGCTGGCTCAGCCCCGGCGTGCCGCCCTGCGTGGTCCCGTGCTGCAGCGGTGCCCTTCCCGGGCCGTGCAGGCCCCTCCACCCCCGCAGCTCTGCTTCCCCCCTGCTCCCCGGGCCTCGCCACTGCTCCCACGGCCAGGATACCGATCCTGTCTTCAGTGCCCTTTACCTAAAAGTCGCTGTGTGTCTGCTTGCTCTCTGGACAGATGACAAGACGTTCCAATGTGAGATGTGTTTCAGATTCTTCTCCACCAACAGTAACCTTTCCAAGCACAAGAAGAAGCACGGGGACAAGAAGTTTGCTTGTGAGGTCTGCAACAAAATGTTCTACCGCAAGGACGTCATGCTCGACCACCAGAGGAGGCACCTGGAAGGTGAGCGCGGCCACCCTCGGTGCGAGCTCCACCCGGAGCGGAGCGGGGACGGTGGGCGGGGCTGGCGCAGGTGGTGGCACCGCCTCTCGGGATGCAGTTTGGGGACGCCGCCGTCCGACGGAGTTCGACTCAGGCACAGAGAGGTACCGGCAGGGCTTAACAGTGTCTTAGCGGGAACACCTGGAAACATCCTGAATGTTCCACGGTGGGGAAGAGTTAAGAAAACCGGACTCTTTGTAGGATTGAAGGCTATGCAGTCCTTAAAAGTGTTTTTCCTGAGTCTTTTACTATCTTGAGAAAATGCTTTTGATATGACAGAAAGGGGAAAAAACAGCATATGATATTGGGTATGGGGTATACTTTCAGCCTCATGCAAGCAGCAGAATGTTCTGGGCAGATGCTGTGGGTGGGGCCGTAAGTAATTTCTTCCTCATTCCTCATGCTCTCTGCGGGCCCCGGATGGCCCATGCCATCCGTAGCAGGGGTGCTGGGGAGCTTCCCGTCCATGTGGGAGGATGACAGGGGTCAGTGGGCTTAGCAGGGGGGTGGGATGAGGGTGCAGCACGATGGGGGCGTGGCCGTGCAGGGCCAACAGGAATCCCCAGTGGGAAGGCACCTGGGCCTCTTGTGTGTGCTGAGCGCCCCCGCCCGGACTTTCTTAAAGGAGCAGCTCAAACAGACCCTCTTTAAACGGGCATTTTTGTTGTGATCATCCTGATTATTCCTCTAAAAGCCCCTTCTCCCTTGCTGACCAGCCCTCAGTAAGTGGCACATACTGACCAGAGCACCTTTTTTTATAAAAGTTTGGAAAGAATCATTGGATAAAGGATTACAAATGAAGCACAGGCTTGTTGAAAAAGAAAGCAGAGCTGCATGAAAAGTGTAACTCTCGCACCCACATGTGCATATACACATATCATCAAGCCTTTTCCAAATAAGACAAGTCCTATCCTGTATGAGTTTTGCACCCTGCTTTTCTGCCCAGCTGCTGTTCACATGGCTTCAGGAAATCCACCACTTTTTCTTCTCTGTGACCCATCGGGTGGTGCACTTGGGCCTCTCCAGCTACACCTGGTGTCCAGATGGCCCTGGGCAAGCCACTGTGCCTCAGTCTCCTCCCTTGGCTGGTGGATGGCCAAGCCAGCCCCTACTGGTAGAACCCCAAGCCCCATGTACCAGCTGCCGATGGTCCTGCCAGAATCAGTGTCTCCTGACGGGCAGGCACCTGGGCTGCATTTTACAACTTGATTTCACCACGTTTTACAGCCGACACACAAGTCAGATCATTTTCTGCGGGAACAAACTGACGTGTCTCATGGTTTTCCCCTTTACGTTGGAGCACAGTCTCCACGACTGCTTCAGCTCTGGTGTGCTTTGTGCCGCTGCGAGCTTTTGGAGAATGGTGTATTTTCATGTCCCATTGGCTGGGCATTCTTAAGTCCGGCTCTGCATTCACTCCGTGAGGTGAGGGAATGTTCCAGAACGGGTCAGCTGTGTGGAAAGGGACTGAGAGTGAATTTATCTTTTATTGAAAGATTCCCTGTCTCATGCAAGCTTCTAAAAATCCAATTTGATCCCAGTTATGAACAGTTAGGTCTTAAAACCAGGAGTTCATCGTCTCTTGGCTTTTCTCCCTGACCTGATTGACCAATTTAATTTACAAGGATGAGTATTGGTATCTTTTTAACAAAAAATGTCATCCCCAAGAATCCTACCTTTGCCTTGAGCCCGTGGATTGAATGAAACTCCCTTCTTCGGCATTAGCTCAGTGTAGCTCTCCAACACCGTAAAACCTCAAAGCCCCGCTGCCCTTGTATTTTCCAGGCTTCAGAGGCACGGACTGTGTCCTTTTCCCCGGGGGCACGCACGGCCGCGCTCTCCCTGGAGCCCGTAGGAGCAGAGGCTCGCGCGGCCGCGTCCCGTGCTGGGGGCACCGCTCACGCACGTATGGTGCTGCCCAGGCAGCCAAGCTGGCTGAGCGGCGGGTGCCCGGCACACACCTGCCCCGGTGTACTCACTCTCTCGCTTGGGGGGCGGGCATTCCAGGAGTGCGGCGGGTCAAGAGAGAAGACCTGGACACCGGCGGTGAGAACCTGGTCCGCTATAAGAAGGAGCCCTCGGGATGCCCCGTGTGTGGCAAGGTAAGGCGCCATGCTCCCTTCTGGAATCCGACCTGGGAGCCCCACCCTGCCCTGCAGTAACGCTCAGAGCTCCCCCCACGGAGCGTCAAGGGAGGGGCCTCTTAGGGAGAAAACAGATGCTCGGGTCATCGGGAGCTCCAGTGTCCACTCATGTCATGCCCCTCTCATGCTGTTGAGATGCGTCTCCCGTGAACGAGCTGAGAAGTGCTTTCTCCTCCACTGCTGGTTTTCCCTTTGCCGCGATTTCCCCCCGAGCCCCTCCCGGTGCTCACCGTCTTCTCCGTAGCACCGCTGACACGTGTCCTTGTGGTGGAGGACCAGAGTGCAGTGTGCCCAGGAGGTGGGGAGTCCCGGGCCTTCACCTTGTCCCATCAGGGCTGGTCCCTGCACTTCGGTGAGGGACAGCACTGACCCGCCCCTGGCCACAGGTGCTCTGGGGCTCTTGGCTACTTCCAGTGACTTCTTGCCTTTAACCCTGTCTGCCTTGAGAAGACAGGGGTGCTGGCTGACACCTGCTGCCCCCGCCCCTCCCCAGGCCTGCCTCCCCTACCTGGCCAGTCCTCTTCCCACCCAGCACCCCAGAGCCGTGGTCACAGGGTGGTTGGCCCCAAGTCCCCTGAAAATCTGGAAAAGAGATGTCCCATAAAAACACTAGCCTCCCATTCCTCATGAGTCCTTTCCCTTCATTCATCTCTCATGTTCTCCTCGTGGAGCATGTGGGGTCGGGCAGGCTGGAGGAGACCCGCTCTCTGGGTTATGTGGCCTCGGGACTGGCCGTCCAGACAGACACTGTCAGATCAGTGGGGCCCTGCAGGTGGTCTCTGTTGCTGTCTCGTCCCCGGAGCTCTTTGCCAGAGGGCGCAGGGCCCCAGCATCCCAGCCCAACCCCAGCAGACGAGTATGGGGCCACGCATGAGCCTCCAGGCCCATTGCACTAGACCAGAAACAGGGAGATGGGGGAGTTGGCGTGAATTGTGTCTGAAACCCGGTGCCCAGACTAAAGGTGGCACTCTCCTTTGGTACTGACTCTCAGATCACGGCTATTTCTGTGATACACTGGCTTCTTGAAAGGCCCTGTCCTAGTGAAGTATTTAAGTGAGCGAATAAAATGGAGCCAGATCCCACTGGTAGTGGATGCGAGAGGACGGCTGCTTCTCTGGGATAACGTAGGCTCGTATTTAGATGATCGCTGCCTCACGTTCGCTCGTGACTCTGGCCCCGAGGCGGGCACCGGGCAGGCGTCCGGTGTTTCTCTGCCCGGTTACGGTTTGTCAGGTCCCGCCCCTCTGCCTGCAGGTGTTCTCCTGCAGAAGCAACATGAACAAGCACCTGCTGACCCATGGCGACAAGAAGTACACCTGCGAGATCTGCGGCCGCAAGTTCTTCCGTGTGGACGTGCTCAGGGACCACATCCACGTCCACTTCAAGGTGCCGCCCAGCGCCACCCTTGCCCAGGGAGCTCACGTGGAGGCGTGGCAGGCCCTCGTGGTCAGCACCCTAAAACACTTGTCCGCTTGGCCACATTGCGCCTCTTCCGATGGGCTCTCGTGACCCTCTGCCGCATCTCGGGTCCCAGCTGCGGGGCTCACATGACACTTCTTCCATTCCGGGTGCTTCCTGGTGAGGACAGTGAGGAGGTGGTGGGAGCGGGGTGGGTGGGCAGCGAGGATTCGGGGGTCATTGTTAAGGGCAGAAGGGCCGATCCAGGGAGCAAAGGAGGAAATCCTAGGCGATGCCGAGGCCAGATGAAGATGGTGAGCACGCGCCCTGGAGATGCCCGCCCACCCGCCCACAGCACAGTCTCTTTCCCTAGTAGTTCCAGCCCCGGGTGTGGGTTGGAGTTTTGCTGGGCAGGTGGGAATCAAAGTCGGGGGTGAGGCAGGAGTGTGGGAGGCCCCCCATCACAGGGGCTGAGCCACGTGGACGAAGTTGGGGCGGGAGGAAGGGGCCAAGAGCATCCGGGAGCCTCAGCCAGGGTTGGAAGGACTTAGACCTCAGCCCGCCACCACTGGAGCCTTGGGAAAAGGGGCCCGGAGACCTGCCACGGAAGGACGGTTTCCTGAGGATCAAATTAGACCCAGCGGAGGCAAAGGGCCTGGCCGGTGTGAGCGGCGCAGCGGCATGGCACCCGTCAGGTGCTGGTCCTCGGGCAGCCTTCCTCCAGAGGACACTGCTGTTTTTCTGCTAATGGAAAACAGAGGGGCACTTGAGTAAGAAACGGAACAGTAGGCCCTTGTGAAAACCTCCTCTCTGCTCCAGGAGGGATAGGGGAGACAGGTTAGTGAACTTTCCAAAGGACACCTGTCCACTCTCCTCAGAATCCTAAGTTTTGTTTAAGAAGGAAGCTTGGCCGGCTGTGGTGCACCACCCTGGCGGCCTCCGCTGGGAAATGGGCAGCAGCAAGGAGGGTGGGCCACAGGTCCACTGCAGCCATCGGGGGGAGCAGCTAAGACGAGAAGCCAAATCCCCCACAGGCAAGGCCGCCTCTGCTCCGCACCTGACCACAGACCCACCGCAGGGCCCCCTCTCAGCTGCTCACCTGGGGCTTCTCTAGCCTGTGACATGACTAGTCAAGTGTTTCTCGTGGTCTTTTTCAGGGAAGTAAGCGGAACTTTAGGGCGATCCTTGCCAGGCTACATGGAAAGAGGCCTTAGAGATGACCAATCTCATCCCAGGGGGCAGATGCCACCATCACAGTCGGGGACACTAGTGTTCCCAAGTCCAGGCAGCCCCAGGCCAGGCTGCAACCCAGGGATGCAGGGCAGAGGCTTGGTCGGCTTGGCTGCCCCGGGCCGGGCAGAACTGTCTGAATGCAGGCAGGAGCCTGGTGGGCTTCCCGCTGGGATGTGGGGTGCACGCAGGGGCCCGGGGAGCCCCAGGGGAGGCAGCAAGCAGGACCCGGGTGGGAATTCCGTGCCATCTGCCTTCTCCGCGTGGGGCAGTCCCGTTAACTGCTGGGGCGTGACTAACCCGTCAACGCTGTGGCCGCCCTGTGCTGCAGGACATCGCGCTGATGGACGACCACCAGAGGGAGGAGTTTATCGGCAAGATCGGCATCTCCTCGGAAGAGAACGACGACAACTCAGATACGAGCGCGGACTCGGAGCCTCACAAATACAGCTGCAAACGGTGCCAGGTACTCGCCCCCTGCTCCGCGCCCCGCTGTCGTCCCGCAGACAGAGGCCTGGGGGCAGCTCCGCAGGGGTGGCGGGGCTGGTTCTCTTCGCCCGACCGCGGTGTCAGATGGGGGGCTGGCCTGCACTCGGCCGAGTGGCCGACCCGGCCGGGGCACCCGCGCTGCACGTTTGCAGCGGCTGGCCGGGTGAGCGCTGCTCCCTGCGTGAGGCTTCACTGCTGGGACGAGGGAGCTTGCTCCGTGCGGGTTCCGTGTTGTGCGTGAGCGCTGGCAGCCATGTGCCCATCGGGGCCGGCGGGCGGGGGTGAGAGAGCGGAGGTCGGGGGGGTGGGCAGCTGGAGGGGCCCAGGTGCGGGCTGGTCTGGAGGGCAGGTCGACTGGCGTCCGCCTCCTGCACCCCACCCCCCACTCTGCACTTTCGAGGCGTCCCTGTCTGTCGGGCCGGGGCACCTTGGTGCGCCGTGGGGCCGTCCTGCGCTGGACGGCGGGAGGCCAGGTGCCGGGCGTGAACGGTGTGCCCGTTGGCAGCTCACCTTCGGCCGGGGCAAGGAGTACCTGAAGCACATCATGGAGGTGCACAAGGAGAAGGGCTACGGCTGTAGCATCTGCAACCGGCGCTTCGCCCTGAAGGCCACCTACCATGCGCACATGGTCATCCACCGCGAGAACCTGCCGGATCCCAATGTGCAGAAGTGAGGAGGTCCCCCGGGGCTGGGGGCTCCGGGGTTGGGCCTGATGCCACGGCGGGGGGCGCGTTTTCTGTGGGGAGGCAGGCGCTCTGACGGCTGAGTCTATCTCCTCGGGGAGCCCTGCGGCCGGGTCTAGAGGGAAGCACACTCCCCTTGTTTGTGTTGTCCGTCATCGGTCCCGTCTCCCTCACCCTCCTGGCCTCACAGCACACGGGTCGGCCACATCACAGAATAACAGTGGGATTCTCGGTCTGCCTGCAGAACCACCAGAAAGCCCTTTTCCCCACCGTAGTTAGGCTCCAGGGGTGCCAGCCCCACATCTGCTGTAGCCCGCAGTCGGTGCTGGGTTCAAGAGCAGTGAGGGGGCCGTCCCCGGTAGAGGCTGGAGGAGCGGCTCGGGCTGCCTGACACAGGGCCACTGGGCAGCCCCGACAGCGAAGTGTACTGTCTCAGTTCCGGACGCCGGGGCCCCTAGGTCGAGGGGTCGGCGGGGCTGGTTCCTTCTGGAGGAAGCAGCTGTTCTGGGCCTCCCTCCTTGGTGGATAGACACGGCCTTCTCCGTGTCCTCACCTGGTCTTCCACCTGTGCACATCCGTGTCCTAATTTCTCCTCCTCATAAGGACACCCGTCGTACTACCCTACCCACCCGACGACCTCGTGTCTCTCCTGACGACCTCTGTAAAGACCCTGTTTCCAAATGCGGTCAGAGCGTCAGGACTGTGGCCTGTGGACTTAGAGGGGCACAGTTCAGCCCTGTTGGAAGTCAAAACTCTCGTGTGTCCACCTAGCCGCTCTCTTGCCTCCGCTTTGAGGAGGAAAGGCTTGGGGTGCACGTACCCTGTTGCGGCCAGGCCTGCCTGAGGCTCCCGTCCGCTCGCAGGTACATCCACCCGTGCGAGATCTGCGGCCGCATCTTCAACAGCATCGGGAACTTGGAGCGGCACAAGCTCATCCACACAGGTAGCACCCTGCCACGGGGACCGGGACGGGACCGGGGTGTCCCCATGCTCCCTGCAGGCTTCGGCAGTCACACGCACCTCCTCCATGCCGTTCTCTGGCTTCTCTCGTCCTTGGGCCCTTGCCACCGCTTCCGTCCCCAGCACGGCCCCCTGCCCCGTGGCCCTGGGTCCTGGGGATCTTCCCGCTGCCGAGAAGTCGGCAGTAAGCTCCCGTGGAGGCCAAGGGCGCACCGGCTGCAGCGTGCTCTGCACCTGCCGCCATGCTTCTCCATCACTGCTCTTGTGCTGGGGCCGCCGACGTGGACCTGCAGGTTGACATTCTGATGCACTTGTTGTTCAGGTGTGAAGAGCCACGCCTGCGAGCAGTGTGGGAAATCCTTCGCCCGGAAGGATATGCTGAAGGAGCACATGCGCGTGCACGACAACATCCGGGAGTACCTGTGTGCCGAGTGCGGGAAAGGTACGGGGGCGCGGGGCCGGGTGGGCACACAGCGGGTGCAGGAAAGGTGTGGGGTTCGCGGCCCAGTGGGCACGGGGCCAGGCGGGTGTGGGGTGGGGCGGGCGCAGGCAAGGTATGGGGTGCGCGGCCTGTTGGGCACGGGGCTGGGTGGGCACGGGCCGGGGAGGCGCGGGCTGTCACCTGCAGGCACAAAGCCGGACGGGCGCAGGGCTGGGTGGGCGCGGGAAAGGTACGGGCGCAGGGCTGGGTGGGCGTGGGGCGGGCGCGGGAAAGGCACGGGGGCACGTGGCCTGTTGGGCACGGGGCTGGGCCGGCGTGGGGCCGTGCGGATGCGGGAGAGGTACAGGGGCGCCGGGCCAGACGGGCATGGTCTGTCACCTGCGGGCACAGCGGACACATGGGAGCTGGGGGCGCCTGGCAGGCTGCTGGGGGGAGCCCGGACTTGACTCACTTGTGTCACAGAGAAACAAGATGCAAGGGCAGCATTTAAATGAGAGGTTAGGGAGAAAATAGGGTGGTCCGCGAGGCCGAGGACGTGATGAGTTCAAGGCACAAATAAATCGTTTTTAAAATGGGGAAGCAGCCCAGCCAAGGGTTGTCTGCAGCACCAAATGATTCTAAGAACCGCCGTGTTCTGCACACGCGTGCAGAATCCCTGGCTCTTACTGCCTGCTGACTGGAACCAGGTACGCATTAAATGGTGATGTGTTGTGACCAGGGATGACTGTGGCCTTCATGGTAATCCGGTGAAATTAGTTGGATAATAATAAACTTCTTAACAAAATATCTCACATCCGTAAGTAAAATGAGGAAAAAAAGTCATCTCAGTGGTAAATTTTTAACCCATTTCTGTTTAAACAAAATGAAACTGTGTAGAAGAGGGGGAGCCCAGAGCTTCTCAGGCTGTCACCAGCACCGTCTATGGCGAGGGCAGCAGGGCCATCCCCGTGCAGACACGGGGCACATCAGGGCTGTCAGCTTTGCCGTTAGATCTTTTTAAAAATTGTATATTTTTGTGAAGTCTTTTTCCTTTACTTGGTTTTTAAAATTAAACAAAAAAAGAGCGAAGAGAACACCAGTGTCTCATCGTGCCTCTCATCGGATAACCCGTTAGCACGTGTAAAATCAGATGACATGTAAAAGCCTGGAAGAGTGACCCACAGGGAAAGCAAAACGTGACCCTTTCCCCTCCCCCGCCCTCAACCCCCATCTTTCTCCCCAGAGGTGACAGTTTCTTGTCCGTCCCCCAGAGTCTCTTTGTGCAAGGACAGTGTGCAGACTTCCTCGCTGGAAAAGTAATGCATGCGCCTGACCAAAAACAAATCTTTTTTTCTCGCTGTAACACAAGGTGGCACGCAAGGTAAAGTTGTTGTTTCCGCCTCAGACCTGTTACACTCTTCAGAAGAACCACTGTCACCATTCTGTAGGAACATTCTAGAGGTTTCTGTGCTTGTCTTAGTGATGCCCTGGCTCTCCCAGCCCCTTCCCCACTTACAAGTGGGGGTGTTGAGCAGCACAGAGATGGGGAGGGTCAGAGGTAGACCTGGTAGGGATGATCCCCCCCCCGGGGGGTCAGACAGAAGCCATACCTGGGTTCCCTGGCAGGGCAGGGGCAGCTGCCCAGAGTGGGCACTGAGGTCAGAACCGCGTCTTACAATGTTGTGTACCTGGTCATATTAGAAGTGTGTTTAATATTTAGCTTTGTGATTTTTTCCATGAATTCTGAATTGTTTCATAAATGTTGGTGTTAGTACTTGGGCTAACACGTTATTTCATACACAGTAAATTATTGGTGTAGTCATTTTGCTTTCAGATTACAGTCATTACCATGTACAAGCAAATGCTTGTGTTTATCTGGGTTTTTTTTTTTTTCCCCGCACTTTGCTTTTTATTTACTTGGAAATTCATCTTAGAGAGTTTTCACGTCAGAATAGGTAAAATTGCCTTAATTTAGCTCTCAAAACCGTGATAGGGTTCTATCTTGCAGATTCTTGTAACCAGACCCTTTTACTTCTATATCGAGGGTTTTTTTGTGTGTGGTCTTTTCATTACAAGCAATGTTGCAGGAAACACTCTCGCGTACTGTTACTTCACATTTTTTCCTAGACGTCCTAGGTCTGACTGGGATTTACTCAGGGGCGAAACTGCTCGGAGTGACGTGAGTCCCGGCCCCAGCAGCAGTTTCGGTGAGGAACAGGATGGGGCAGGATACCCAGGAAAATACCTTGTTCAGAATCAGTCGGCCTGCCGTGAAGTACCTGGGACAGGCCCTGGGGAGGCAGTGTGTGGCCTGCATGAGGAAAGCCACTGTGCATTTAAAGATGTAAAGAGGGCCGGCCCCCGTCCAGGCTTGGGAATTCTACCCATTAAAAAAACTAGCTGCTGGTCCGGAGTAAGTTGTAAATGTGATGCAGAGTGAATCCAAGTCCCAACAGAGGGAGGCTTAAAATTTCCACCGTGTGGCAGTCATACGTATTTTACAGCTGTTGGCAGATCTTTCTTTAAAATGGAAAGAGAAGCATAGTTTGTCACCAACACAGGCTGCGATGGGGGGGTCAGAATGGGGAGGCGAACTTTGTTGCGTCTTTCCTTCTGTGTATTTTCTTTTTATGACCATGCATCATTTTGTGACACAGAGTCTGTTCATTTCAGATGCGTGTGGGAGACAGGTGCAGGTGGGAGACAAGACAACAGGGACTGGTTCTCTTCCCTGCGTCTCCTCCGCCATGGTCCCAGCAGGGCCAGAGCCAAGGTGCCGCTGTGCCCGGCACAGCTGGGGGCAGCCGGTGCTGGTGCAGGGAAGAAGGCAGGCCGACTCGTGGACTTCGGGTGGGAGTGTACATTGGTACAGTTGGGGTGGGCTTTGGGCGCTGTCAGCCGCAGTTTAGAAATGTAGTTTATTTCTGGTACAAAGATCTATTTGCAGCTTAAACGTAACGTAGCCCTGTTTGTGACAGAGAACAGCGTGAAACACTGAGAACTCTTTCCGTTGGCCTCAGGGCCCTTGCACTGGTTCTTCCCGCCACCAGAAATGCTGTTTTCCCAAGTAGCTCTCGGCCCCTCCCATGCTCCTTCTGGATGCGTCCTCTGCGGGGACCCCCGTCCATCCCACAGGATGAGCCAGCTTCCAGGCCACTTCCATTCCTGTCCCTGCTTTATCCTGCTTCTCTTCATCCCTTGCCACGTGGCGCTTGGCCTTTGTTTGGCCCCCTCCCTGTGTAGCTTGGTGCACAGCCCAGCCTCTGGCACCTGGAGTGGACTGGTCCCGTGGCAGGCACTGGCGTGGCGGGTGTCTGTTAATGGACAGACACCAGCTGGGAGTGGTACTTCGTGCTGAGAGCAGCCTGGTGGTAGGTTTGGACCAGCCGGGCCAGATGTTGAGGCGAGTATCAAATGGCAGCACAGACGGAGGGGACTGCACTGGGGAGGGGCCATTCTGCGTGACCGAACACGCTCAGCAGTGTCCCAGCGCGCCCATATGACCCGGCAGGGCTGCTGAGCGCTATCCTCGGGGCTAACCTCTGGTCACCGGGAGGTTTTTCACTGAGTGTGTGGGAATTTTTTGATCAAAAAGTTAAAAATAATTTTTTAAGGGGAAAACACTCTTCTGAAGTCAGCACTGGGCCCACCCATGTCTTCCCATCCTGTAGCCTTGGAAGCCTTTTCTGGTGGATGGTCACTTCAGAGACTTCTCCTTCTGCTGGCTCAGGCAGGACTGTTCTCATGGCTTCTCACAGCATAGCCAGGCCCAGGATTTCATGCAGCCCTGGGGTTCATGCAGGCCTAGTTCAGCCAGGCCTGGGGTTCATCATGCAGCCCTGGGGTTCATGCAGGCCTAGTTCAGCCAGGCCTGGGCTTCATGCAGGCCTAGTTCAGCCAGGCCTGGGCTTCATGCAGGCCCAGTTCAGCCAGGCCTGGGCTTCATGCAGCCCTGGGGTTCATGCAGGCCTAGTTCAGCCAGGCCTGGATTTCATGCAAGCTTAGGGGTTGAGCCAGGCTCAACCAGGTTCCTGCAGGCTTGGGGTTGAGCCAGGCCCAGGTTCATGCAGGCCTGGGGATCAAGTAGGCCTGTTTCAACCAGGCCCAGGGTTCCTGCAGGCCCGGTTCAGCCAGGCCTGGGGTTCATGCAGGCTCAGGCTTCCTGCAGGCCTAGTTCAGCCAGGCCTGGGGTTCATGCAGGCTCAGGGTTCCTGCAGGCCTAAGTTCGGCCAGGCCTGGGTTTAGTAGGGGCCAGAGCTGGCTGAGACCCTCTTCCACATTCACCAGGATGGGGAGTTTTCCAGGTAACCTGGTGGGGACTCTGTTCAGCACTACAGTTCTTTGGCTGCTGTTACCGAGGGCAGTACTAGCCGTGGTCTGTGTCTGCCCCACTCTGGAGCCCCTCCAGGAGGTGACTTTCTCTGTGGTTCTGAGTTAGCTGTCCACTGTCTCTTGGCTGGTTCAGTTTGTGACCTGCAGGATGGGACGCATTCTGCTTTGTGTGTGTGAGCCACCGCCCACTTGCTCTGCAGTGCCCCTTGCCCACCCTGCAACCCCGTTAGCCCTTCCCACACAGCATTGCCCACCTAGGGGACATCCTGTACCACTACCCTTCCCCCACTGACCCCTGCCCTGTACCAGGACCCCCCGCTGCTGACCGCTGCCCCATATGGGGACCCCCGCCGCTGACTCACACTCTGTACAGGGAACCCCCCCTCCTGCTCTGCTGACCCCTGCCCTGTACTGGGACCCCCACCGCTGACTCACACTCTGTACTGCGACCCCCCCCCCACCGCTGACCCCCACCCTGTACCGGGACCCCTTTCGCTGACCCCCGCCCTGTACCAGGGTCGTCCCTTCTCCACTGGCCCAAGTTAGTGAGGTTGTAGTTTATCTCACGTCCTTTAGCAAAGGTACATTTCCTTAAAGGCGGATTGGAGGTCCACGCCTGCGCCACGCAGCACCCAGCATCCGGAGGACTTACTCCTCATCTCGGTGTGCACGCCGTCTGGAGCCCCAGCAGCTCAGGCAGGCTGGCCCCCTCTCAGCAGATGACTCGGCTGTGTCACAGTGGTCACATCTGCCCCTCGATCCGAGCACTGACCCTCAGGTCTGGGCAGGCCCCTGACAAGGTGAGCTGTCTAGACATGGACAGTAAACCCCTAAGGGCCTCTGAGGGCATAAGTGCCCATCTTGCCACTGGTGGAGGGGGCTCTCTAGGAGATTCACCCCCACGCCCTGACCCCCGGTCTCTTGTTCTGCACGCACCAAGACCTGTGCCTGCCCGAGCGTCCAGGTCACGGCCCCTGTGGGAGGTTGAGGCACCGGTTGGGGGGCATGTGGGTACTGTGGGGGAGTGTCCTGGCCCAGGGTGGGGGATCAGGCACTGTTGCAGGTCTGGGTCGTGGGCACTTTGGGGGTGTTAAGGTGTAGGCACTGTGAGGGGTCCTAGGTGCAGGCACTGTGGAGGGTCCAGGATGCAGGCACTGTGGTGGGTTTCCTTGGGTACAGGCACCATGGGGGTCCTGGATGCAGGTATTGTGGGCGTATTGGGGTGCAGGCACTGTGGAGGGTCCTGGATGCAGGCACTTTGAAGGGTCCTGGGTGCAGGTGCCATTGGGGTATCGGGGTGCAGGCACTTAAGAGGGTCCTGGATGCAGGACCTATTGGGGTACAGGTACCGTGGAGTATTGGGGTGCAGACACAATGGAGGTGTGTGGGGTGCTGGCACTGTGGGGTATTGGGGTGTGGGCACTCTGGGGGTGTGCGGGGCACGGGCACCACGGGGGTGTGCGGGGCGGGGGCGTGCGGGGCACGGGCACCGCG